CCCCCCCCCCCCCGACAAAGTTTTCATAACCTTTGTTTTTTATTTCTGCTGAGTTTTGCACTTTTCCCAGGAAAAATTGAAGACAATTATGCAAAATTTTGGGGGAGAGGGTGCAAACAAAATGTATTATGAAGTGCAAATAGCGAATAAGTCTGAGGTTAGCGAACTTGAACTAACTTTGTCAATTAGGTGTTGGCGGTACTCCAACTTGTGTTTGAATTGTCAGACATTTTTCGCCTTCAGGCGTTTCAGTTATATCTCCTCTTGCCTCCCACAGATAGAAATTTTAAAGACCATATTTGAGCTTCAGGATTTCCTAAACTCGCCAGTAAAATGAAAAGTTTTAAGTACAGTAAAACCTGCAATTATATTAGCTATCAACAATTAAGGGAACCAGTTTGGGGCACTCAGCCGTAGGTGTAATAGATACTGTACTAGTAAACGCATCTCCGAGAACTTGAATAACACATCTACAAAGATGCATTTTGCTTAAGAAGAAAAAAAGATTTTATGTATTAGCCCACTGATTCGTTTTATTTCAAGATACCTTAAGCGACATTTTTAATTCCAAGTTCAGAATATTGGCGGAGGTGCCTAAGATGTTTTAGTTTTTCATTTCTATGACATGATATGCCTATACGTAAATTTCCAAGAATTCTATTATCCCTATCTCGATTTTTCTAGCTAAAATTAGTTCGGTCTTCAAATGAACCACAAAATATGTCACTTACTAGCATAAACCAATGTGCCAATTCCGAATGTAATCCACATGAAAAAAATGATCGTCCTGGTAGCAGAGGCCATCATGGTCTCTTTTTTTATGTTTTACTTGTTCCTAGGTACGACTCGCATGTTGCTATGGACTGACCATGCAAACCGCAAACGACTCTTTTACGTTTTTCAATGTGATGACAGTTAAACAAATTCCCTTTAGAATGTAGTAAATTATTCATAAGAAGTAGGAACTCTTAGCGTTCACTTATCTCGTGAGATCTTATTGATTTTTCATCAGCTCTAAAAAAAATCATTTATTAACTTCCTATCAACTGTGTATTCAAATGCCTTCCTTCTTGTTCTGGGGGTCCGCTATACAAAAAAAAAATAAGCTCAGAGAAATAAAGCTTAAAAAAACAAAAGATAACACTTAAAAAATTACTTTTAGTTGTCACTCCAGCTTTTCTTGTTAACTTTCAGAGAAAAATCCTAAGCTTTTTTAAAACACAGGCTAAGCAAGCCGTTATTTTCTTCGATGTGCTTTTTATATGATATTTGTCCATGATTTTTTTTTTTGAAACTTGCTCTCTAAAGCCGGTGTGCCCTGTCATGCCTCTCGGTGCCATAAATTTAGACTCCTATTATTTGTTCTTTCTGAGGCGACTTGAGTAATGTTATTACCGTTAAGTGCCTAAATAGAACAAAGTTCTACATGATACTCTGTCGTCATTTTGGTTTTATAAGGGAAGATTTTTTTTTTAAGTAAGCAAATATAGTCAGTTAGAGGTTTCGGCGTGGAAAACGAGTAGCGCTGTTTATTGCTCGGCGAGTCTCTTAATTTCCAGTGCTTGGATTTGGGCAAATTTCCTAGATGAAGTGTACTAAAAAATAAAGACTCTCTTCTCTAGTTTGCAATCCTTCTGTATGCTAGACTAACAGAAGATTTCGCAGTTAGCGACTAATGCCTTTTGGTCAGAGCGGTCTGAAGAATTTTGCAGCAACGACCTGCTATACAGTGTACGTAATTAACCTGGCCATCGATCAGGATTGGAGTTTGTTATTAAGGAGAAAATATCATCTGGGTCATTAGCCAGTAGTTATATAGTACCCGGCCAGACAAAGTGAGCTGTCTTCAGTAATGATCGAGATGGTGAAGTTCTGTTCTTTCTTGTTTATTTTCCGGTCCCAGTATATAACTCATTGATTTCTTGTTGTGTAATGAGTATCAAGGATTTTCGTATATTCTTCAGTAGAATCGTGAAAATTTAGTGTTGCAGCAGCTTTCGACAATATATATTTCTTTTTATCAATGTGAATTAGCGTGTATTTGTTATCAAACTCAAAAAATGATTTTCCGTTTTATGCAAATAATATCAAATGAATAATAAATAATAAGACTTCCAGTACTTTTTTTAGTTTAAAAAAAAGATGGCCTTAAACAAAATATTTGGGGGTTTGTCGGGCGATGACAAACAAACAAGTTCATCTGCAAAGAACTTCCCATTTATGACAATTTTTGTTAGTTCGCTTATATAGAAAGTTGGTGCGTGTAATACAAGGATTGTATATCAGTTTTGTTGATTAATGTTTATAATGTAGAGTTACTTTTCTTGACTGTAGTGATTTTTACGGAGAAAAAATATAGCTTTTTCTTTGTTTTAAGGACTTTTTCAGAGTTGCTCCTTTTTGGTGCAATGTCTGCGAAATTTTTATACAGTTCTTTGGTGAAATTGTGTTTCAACGGTTTGGCTGCGTTGACACCTGCTGTTTTGTTTAGAACGTCTCCGAAGAACGGAAAACTAATTAATAGAAAATATATATAGGCTACAAATGTTAAAAGCCCGCCTAATAGCTGGAATCTCTGTGGTCCAAGAGCATATACAAAAAAAATATCTCTTTTGACACTCTCAAAAGTGTCCAGAGAAAATTCTGTCTCTTCTGCGGCTATACCCCAGTTCCCTGCCGCGCTATCCACCTCCTCCGTTATATTGTTTTCCTCGCAAGAACGCTCTACTAGCAGCATACCCAATTATCTCAACGTTGTTCGTCTTTTGCACCTGCAGTTTATATGGCTACTCTAACCCACTTGAAGACCCCTTGTTCAGGCATCAGAAAACTCTCCTCATGGGAGGCATCCTGTGACGCAAAAGCTACCTATTACAGCCGAAGTTTCTCACAAAATGAAATGCCAGTTACATCTTCATTCCCCGTTTGACGTCACCTTTTGGGCAGCATGTTTGGTAGCATTTTTCTTGTTCTCCCGTTATTAGTCAAACTACCTGCGAAAATACAATGTTCGATTGGTCCCGTGGCGCATCATTCTTGTTGTTCGTTGGTCTATAAAAACGATCCAATACCGAGATCGCACTCTCCTGACCATTTCTAAGATTGCTCACTTCTCTTTGTGTCCTTGGTCAGCGGTAGCTTGCGCTTTCAAGCTTGACGTGTTTATCAAAGTAATAAAACTGCTTCAAAACCCCCCTTTACTTACCTAGAGGACGGTGTCCTTAAAACACTGACATACACTACATTCACAACTAAACTGAAACGAACACTGGATCTCTGCAGCTACTATGGCTCGCGTTTCTCTGGACACTCCTTCAGGCGAGGGGTGTGCTTCATTTGCCTTGCATTGCGGTGTGCCTAGAGATTATATTAAGCTACAAGATAACTGGAAATTGACTGCATATGAGCGTTACTTAGACCATTCACTGCGCTACAAGTTAGAGGCTGTTAAACAGATAGGCCAGGGTATCACTCAATAACTCCCCTGTTCTCTCTTTGGAGGTTTGGAGGGTACCGCGTGGTGGTCTAGGCAATAAAGACCCAGAGAACCCCAAAGAGAGTTGTTGTGTATTTATTTAGCCCGTAAAATACACACGACTGGTGCGTCAGTTTAATTCGTACCAGTTTTTTATTGAGTTGCCTTTGCAGACGTAATTTATTGAATTGAGCCTGAGTTGCAGTTGCTTGTAAATTGTTAGATGCACAAGCAACTTAAAGGTCTTTTTTTCTAACTTTTGCTGTATAATCAATACATTAATTATAATCAAATCAACAGGTGTGTGACTATGTGATAAAGAAGTCAGTGCGTGGTATCCCTTCGCATTTTCATGGGCAGTGTCTCCAAACCTGAGCTGTTTTACTGGAAGCTTTGTCTTGTCAGTGAGAAGACCGCTGTCTTCACGCCAAACATTGTCATTCGCCTCACAATTACAGCCATAACTGGGGTCTGCGCATGAGTTGTTCATTCCGCATGCGCACTTACCACTGCCAGGTGATTCCCCGCCCCAGTAAGTCATCTTAGTAGAATCACGTGACACCTACCAAGCGTATTCGCCCTCTCTGAATAGCATTTAGTGATAACTCTCATACTTGATAAATATGCTCGCAGTGTGAAGAGACGCTGGTGAGACTAGCCAGCTGAGATAGACTCGTGCCATTGTAGTGGATGTCACGTCATTAGTTCCAAGAGGGTTCATATCCGATCACAAGTGATCGGTTCTCACTGTCGTGACTGATGACTGTCACGCCAACGCTAGTCTTGTAGGTCATGTCACAGTACACTGAGAATGGCTCCAGATCTCCCTCGCCATCTGGATCAATACTGTACTCGCTGCTGCAAGGTCGCCCTTCTTTAAATCGCTGCATGATGACACAACTGCAATAAGAATTAAGGTTCCCAGTAATTACTTTGATTCGTTATTCCAGGCGTTAATATAAAACCTATTTTCAGACTTATAGTTTTTACAAGATACGAGTGCTTCATTATTCATTACAACATGTCCTGTACTCCGCATAAGAATTGTACTGCAGCCTCAACACTGGAAATGAGTCGACTGCAAGTGCAAGTTGATTGTGGGTAGCAAGGGAAGGCGCAGAGGTGAGAGTAATTGCCTCCAATGTGGCCCAGGAATTTGATCCGTGAATCCCAGTGCGCATGTCAAATGCAATCTTCCTCTTTAAAAGTGAATTTTTTGTTTAGGCCCTTCTCCTTCGAGAACAATACCCTCTTGGAACTATTTAGGCTTACCTTTTTCGCATTTTTTTCCAGTCCATGGCGGCTTGCAAGAACAGGCAAAACTGGCTTTTTCTTTATCAAAAGAGCAGTAGCCTCCATTTAGGCATTCGGTCATCAGAAAGCCCTGAAAATAATTATCGACACCCAAATCGCATCGCGTTACATAAGCACGACTGAAATAAGGCTGCACAATGGAGTGTGCTCGGTATAAAAAAATAAACTGTTTAGTTAACAAGATGATCAATGAAGTAGCGAATTTCGGGAGTAAGGAGTAAGTAATTAACGGTGAATTGCTTGCCTTGCTATCGTTATTGTAATGCATGATAATAGAAACACGCGTGTTAGTTTTTCGTAGAAAGCAAAAAAAAAACAATAAAAACAACAACAAATAAATAAATAAACAAGAAACAAAACAAAACGAGCAAAGTAGTAGAATAGTTCATTCTGCTTTGAAAAACAGAGTGCACTCATGTTAATAAAAATTAACGAAGCAATTAATTATACTGGTTGGTTTCCCAAGGACAGGTAGATTAAAAAGCAATGTTACTATGAGGTCGCGCGGTTTACTCAGGTCCCCCGAGCGCATTTTCCCGTTACAGGTTTTTATTCATTGTTTTAAGTCTAAAAACAATGAAAAAAGCTCTAACGGGACGGACGGCTATACGAGTATGTTGCTAACTCCACACTTTAAAAAAATTCTCAGAAGGCTTTAATAAAAAATCGTTAATTTTGTAATTTCCCCCGGCCATTAAGGAGACTGAACACGGTTTTGCGGGCAGACAGCGGTAACTCGCGTGACGGTGCGTGTTTTAAATTAGACAAACAAACTTGGCGGCGAAAAAAGCAATGGTACACAGGAGACGATTTCTCAAAATCTAATCATCAAAATTTTGTGATATTTGGCAGAATTTTAACTTTTACCGTATTCTAAATAATGAGAACTTTAAAATGAAAGTTGAACAGACGAATTTTGTGATACATTTAATAATTACAATACAATTATATTATTGATTATCTTAAAACCCGTCTGTTGAAATTTGGTCAAATAAGTTTCAAATGGTAATGATTAATTATAGTAAGCTGTGCGCAAGTTTATAGGAAAATGTAATGAGCGAATTTTATGTAAACTGAGCAAATATGAAATTTTAAGGTTGTATTCAATCGTTCATTTTGCCATGGAAACAACGAAAACGTCCCATTTTACCTGCCGATCAAAATCTTTCATCAGTATATTTTTCACTTGCCAAGTTTCAGCTTGTGACCTGCAACCTCTCTCTTTCCATGATTTGACAAATGACATATACTCACAAACTGCCAAAACTGTGTTCAGCCACCTTAAGTGATAAAAATTAAAAGTCCTCAGCGCCTATTAATTAAAATAAGAAGACAATTTTTGGTCAGATTCACCTAAGACCTGAATGAAAAACCGAGAAATTTGTAAAATTTTCAATTTTTGCAAGTTCATCGCGAAATCGTTCATTTTGTACGTCTGCGTTCAATTCTGAACATAAATGACTTATAGTCCCGGCAAGCAAACGTTAATAACCTTTCTTACCTTGAGAAGCATTGTAAAGTAGAGCCTGGTTCATCAGTGAGCTTAGAGTCATCGGTGATTGGAGAGAACTTGTGTTTCTTCAGTTCACAATTTCCTTCATTGCTCTTCTTAAGGAAGTTAGTAGAGGTACACCATGAGTGCCTCATGCACACCTGGCTGCAGGTCATCAAACTAGAAGAACAAACTGTTTTAATTGTTTGGCCTGTTGAACGCTTATTCTCTTTAACAATGAAATAAGCAGATTTGAGGTGTTCTTCGATTGCAAAAACTATAGAGGCGATACTAAACAAAATCTGAAGTGAGTTGATCATTTTCTCCGGCTCCTCTACGTATATCTTCCCGAGCGTCAGGTATTCATTTGCGGAGTGTGGGTGTTAGGATGCTCTAAATTATGGCGTTTTCTAAATTGAGGTTTATGATCAACAATTAGCATTAGTTCACTTGGTTATTAACTCGCATGAATGATTGATTCTACTGTCATTGCCTGGGTCACTATATCATTATCACTTTGATTCATGGTATGCGCCGCTTTATAAATGATTTATACTGCTGAAAAATAAGCTCCGAACATTTGCACTTTAAAATAGGACTACCTAGCATAATTTTACTAATTGATATGTTATGAGCTAGAAGTTGCGGATATTTCAAACAAAGGAAGTGGTATAAAGTATAAACTATTTTTATTTCTTTGGCAATGTCGAGTATGGTGGTAAGAGGTGTATTCAAGAGAGGATGTTCCGCACCAAAGGTCCAAAACACCCTTAGCACGTGTTTAGGTAGAGGCAGTCTGTAATATTCACAAAATGAAACCGAGTCTGAGACCCAAAGCGTTAAAGTTTATGATGTTGTTGATATGAAAGAAAAGCTTGAAAACGTTGTATATTTCTATTAAAATTGTTACTATTTTTATTGTTATTGTTATTAATTTCAACCAAACAGGTTGGGGGGGGGGGGGGGGTGGAAATAATTTTGCTGTAGGTTTTAGCAAAATAACCTTTCAAGGTGGGGTTTTTTTATTATAAAAAAGAGGGTTCTAATGAACTAAAAAATGAGAGATATTAAGTAAGTAATCGAAAAATATGGAAAAGAAGATGAAGAGTTTAATTTACCAAAGGGTCAACTGGGCAAGACATTACCTTGAGTATTGACAACTTTCAACAGTTATATTCTTATAAAACATGTGCAATTGTTACACTGGCTTGTCGGCTTTGATAAAAGAAAATATGGCGAAATGGCGGAGTGGATCATTTTTAATGAATCAAAAATGTTTGCAAATGGAATGACGGTTGTACAACCTTAGCGCTCAACCGTCACAAAATAAAAGAACAGAAATGTATATTTAGTGGAACTAAGATTTTGTGTAAGACCCCCTTTGAAAATATAGAACCTGGGGTAAACGGGTTTGGAATTTCGGTTCATTTAAACCCAAAAATAATTATCAAGAGAAAATATAAGCAAAAATATATTTTTATTCGTTAAAATACATTTATACAGTATTTTTATTTTGTTATCAGAAATATAAGCTGAAACTTCATGTTTAATTATTTATTATTTTGCCAACCCCCCCCCCACTAAGGTTTTTCAATTTTTTTCCTAGACGATAAAACATCAGCACCTGAAGTTTTCTGTAGCTGTTCGTGTTCGTTTATCCCTCGCGCGCATTTTCAGACAAGTTTATTGATGGTCAGTTACTATGGTTACGAGATATGACGTCATACGTAGCAGGCGGTCAAGCCATTTTCGAGTGAAAATGCATGTTTTTTCAACTTTTTTTAACAATAAAATTAAAACCTGTGGATAAAATGATACAAAGTAGTTATTTATGTGTTATTTTACAAGTTAAGCGCAAAAAAGTTATTAATTATCACTGTTTTTATGTGATTTCTAATTCTTAATAAAATACAAGATGGCGACCAAGAGAGCACATTTTTGGTGACGTAACAGACCTCTAGCAGCGCCACCAACCATTAAATATACCTCATCTTGTAGAGAAGATCAAAGGCTTTCCACTTAAGGCAAAATCGCTTCGAAATACTGCAACATATCAAAACCTCAGGCAGAGGGTTCCATCAACACCCCCAACCCCCTTGTACCTCGATGGGGGTATGACTTTGCGTGGACGTCCGAGGGTTAAGAGCATCATTTACCAATGCACACTCACTTGGCTTTGTGAAAAAACGGAATTCATAATTAAGCCAAGAAAAATTGGGCTGAAATTTCAGGCTCACGTTACGTGAGTTCAACATCCTTAATTATGTGGAACTATTAATCCTTTGACAAAATATTAATGTTAATCAAGTGTTTTAATCACCCTTGAAGTGTCTATTCAAAAACAAATTGTGATGCTTTTTACAATTTGAAAAAAGTGCAGTCCTGATCAAGAAGGGGTAAGGGGTGGGGGGGCTCGTTATGGCAGAGGGAACTGTATTCCCGGGTAAAAGACTGAGTCGAGCAATCATTGATTTTGATGAGGATGCTTATAAATACCTAGCGGTGCTGGAAGGACATAAAATCAAACACACCGAGATGAAAAGAAGAATTGAGAAGGGATACTTTCGTCGTGTACGAAAAATCTTATAGTCTAAAATGAATTGTGCGAATATAGTCCAAGCAATCAATTGTAGGGCAGTGGCAGTAGTGCGATATGCGGCAGGAATAGTGTAGTGGACGAAAGAAGAGCTACAGATTATACAGGTGTAGATCAGGAAAGCGCGCCAATTGATTACTCAACACTATACTTTGCATCCGCAGGCTGATGTTGACAGGTTTATTTACTTTACTAGATCAGACAAAGGTTGTTGAGAGTTGTAACGCCCCCCTGTTGGAGGCGGTGTACAAGAAAGAGGAAGAATTTCTGAGATGTTATTATGAAAGTTGTGAAGCCGCATCGTTCCAGCAACAAAGAAAAGAGTGCCTCCAAGAGAAACAACTTCATGGGCAGTTTTGGAGGAACACAGCAGAAGTAAGAGAAGAGTAGACGTCTCAGAATAGCTCCGCTATGTGCATTTTGATTTTCCAAAGCTAGCCAAGTTTAGAGCACTACAGCTTTAGAGCTATTGGCATCTTAGAACGTGATTTTACTCAGTAGTTTCGCATTTTGTTTTGTAAGAGTGGATAGACTGATGACAAAGAGGGTTTCAGATGAGGATCATGAACACAAGCCAAACGAAAAAGAAACTCGGTTAAAGTGGAGAGAGCAGAAGATGAAAAAAGCCTTATTGGACTGCAAAAGGAAATTAAAAGGAATGGTTGCTCCAGAAAATCCACCGCGTAACTTGAATGGAAAAAAGAAGGGTTATATGCAAATAATGAAAGAGTTTTGGGACAAAACTGATCCCGATGGATTGCATTTGACAAGTTAAAATCTCAGGGATCAAGCAGAAAGATTGAAATAAAAAATTCCGAACGATTCATGAAAAAAAAAGCGAAAATTTGTGTAAAATCAAGAAGACAATGGAGCAGATAATTTTGGGATAAATGGTGAGTTTCAAGAACTTGATTTGCAGATTGAGTTACCCAAATCGCAAATCCTAGAGGAACCTTCTTGTACCGCAAACAAGCAAAATTGTACAATTAAGAATCGCTAACAATATTCCATAAAGTGATGGCTACCCCAGGGGACTTTAGCAATTGAAATATGCACACTAGGACAAAGAAACGACCTACAAAGAGCGACATCGAAAGCGTCAACAAAGTGATTAACGAAGTGATGGTTTCTCACAACAATGCCAACAACCCAATGGAAAATTCGTTTGGATTCTTATGGTAGCTAATTTATAGAACAGGATAAATTAAAGTTAATGTGATAACCAAAAACCCGCCTTTACCAGTAATGGAACCAGCTCACTTCCTTTCAGGGGTCACTTCCTGCATGCGACCCCTGTCACGCTAATTGTTTCGCTCAGCCACTTAGATGCCAGCTATCACATGAACAGTTGATGCCTATATTCTCGCGCCTAGCTCAGCAAAATAGGACTTCATATTATTCCTTCGTGGAACAAAATGCTTGTTACTTACAGCCTGATTTTTTCTTCAAGAATTGGAATTTCGCTAAGCTGTAGTGACTAGATCACTGTTTAGGAAGGGCTACCTTGATCTTCCAACTGCATACAAGCCTTACGCGTTCGAGTTTTCTGGCAGATCTTCCACGAAGAGATGTTGCACCGCTCTTGGTCAAACTCCGTCCTTGGAACATTGATCATGATCTAAAATACTGCAACCCTCGTCTTGAATGTCACTGCTTTCTCCTCTTCTTGAACTTTCGATATCCTCTCACATGTACCCGCACTTTAGACGTTTCGACTCTCTCGGCTGGCACTTCAAAGTCAAGGTTCCTCCGCACGAAATCATCTTAGGCCAGTATGTCTTCATTTGGGAACAGAGTTGCTCTCTCATGATTCAGGTGCGGTATTTTTCTGGTTTATCAATAGTTAACTTAATACTCTTATTATATTGTGCCTCGAACGACATCTGTTTTTGCAATATTGTGTGCATGTGACTGTACTGAGCGCTTTGAGACATGGAAAGTTATTTTTGAGTTCACTTACTGTATTAAGAAGAAGGACTTGGCGCCTCGTCCTCTGAAATTCACCTTATTCAAGTCCCGGGGATTCAAGTATGCACGACCGTGCGTTTATTACGCTCTTACCATGGGGTAAGAAAGAATACGGACTGTTAAAATCAAATCTGTGACGATTAGGTCTTCGAGGTTTTTCAAATAATGGATTGAATTTCAGTTTCAATTGTTTATTCACATCTAACATATTATGAGTTGAGAATGATACATGAAAGAAAATCATCAAAGTCGGTTCCATGCTTCGCACGTGCAGACTGCTCCTTGCGAAAGGCGCGTTTCACAGGGGTTAAGAGCATTAATGGAAGAAAAAAAAGGGACGCTCGCAATATGACGGCAAAAACTGAAAATGACATGCAGAAAGTATGAGCTACAGGCCAGCGAAAATTAGGAAGAACATATCAGTCGCCAAGGCTGAGATGGAAAGGTTAAAGACAAACAATAAATTGACAAAGAAAGGAAAGAAAAATCGAGCAAAGTTATTAGCAGTTTGCAAACGGCTATCTGCTGCGGAGCCTGTAAATGAGAGTCAAAAGTCAAAATTGAGAAAACCGAAAAAGGAACCAAAACGTTGCAGGAAAAATGAGGAATCGAGAAAGCTAAACAGGAAGTTCCACCTGAATCCCGGAGGTAGGACCAGGAAATGCTTCAAAAAGGTGAAAGTGAACAAAGAATGTGTTAGACGGTTAAGGAAGCGAGTAAGTTCTGAAAGCTGTTATGGCATGGAAACAGGAAAGA